CCCCCCCCCCCCCGCGCGATGTCAGCTTCAGAGGCTTGAAAAGAAACGGAGAAAGCGAGAGCTGTTTGCGAAACGCTCTCTGCGAGATCTCGATCAGTGTTTCTCAACCGCAGCCGCTTGAAGATGTGTGGACTTCAACTCCCAGAATTCCCCAGCCAGCCGTCCTATTGAAGTCCACACATCTGAGGTTCGGAAACACCGATCTGGCCTGCAAACGGGAAGGAGATGATACCCTTCTCGGCTAAACAGCGGACCCCACCGCCGGGCGGAAGAACTGGTGCAAAGGCTCCAGCTTGAAAGCTCAGCTGCTTTCGGTTTCGGCCTCCGCTCGCCCGCCGCCTCCCCCCAGCTTTTCTTCCCCTCTGGATCATTACAGAAGGGAATCAACCGCGAGGGGTTAACATCCCAAGAGCGAACGAAGGGAGTGGCTCTCTCCAGCCCCCTTAAGAGCCAGCGACCCATCCCTAATCGCGTGTCGGAAAAGCAGGAAGAAATGCAGGGGAACTTCAGGGGCACGATTTCTTCGGGTTAAGAAGAAACGTGACACAACCGACCCGATCCCCTTTTACCTATTCTTCTCCGAAACGGAATCTACCCGTTTGCGCGCTTCGGAAATACGGGGGTCCCCACTTGCTAAATGCACCGCCGCTCGGAACGCGCCCGCTTCCAAGTTTCTTCCTCCTTCGCTGAACTTTTTCGGGGCGGAGTTAGGCGGTGACAGAAGAGCACGCAAGCTCCCCTCGGCCTATAAAACGCAGAGGGGCCGGTTTGGGAACTTGAACCCGCGTAGACGTCAAGTGTTGGCGTCGGAATCCAGAGGTCCTGATCGAGAACGTTGTCAGCCTTGTTAAGCTGAATGGGAGGATCTTCTCAACTGCACATCACTGTTATTGTTGTAGGCATCGTACCCCTTCCCCGGGAGGTTGGATTCATGCACTTTCTTAGCATCGTCAAAACCTTTTGCTAATTGTGCTAAGCAATAAATCAAATCTGGCCAACTTCCTTCCTGGCTGATCAACAGCACTTTTTATTTTTCAGAGAGAGAGGGAGGGAGGGAGGGAGAGAGAGAGAAGTTGTCCTGACTATATAACTTATGGGAATTTGCCTATGATTAAAATTGTAAGGATAGAAAGGATTTTGGGGGGACGAGGGGGATGAGAGAAACAGAGATAGAATATTGCCTTTTTTGAAAAATCAATATACTGTGCTGATAAGAAAATGATTAGAAGTAAGATTATCCCCAAACCAAAACTGTTGGGGAATTACAATGGATCATCCAGAAAATGATTAGGGGAGTACTCAGTGAAATAGTGAAGAAGGTAGACTCAAATGTAATCATAAGTATAGTAGACTCAATGGGGGCATCACTGACTGCAAATGATCTACTCAAAGTCTAGCTCCAATTAATTTTTAAAAAGTATGTTTTTATAAGGATGAATATCTAAGGTATCTGTTGTAAGGGTAGACATTTCTCTCTTTTTTAAAGACATTTTTGTACATTAGGTATTGAACTGCAACATATGAAAGCTCTTGCCACAGGACATTTGTTAGTGTTTAAAATGCTGTAAGACTGTTGTTTTTGCTGAAACATAGATGCTGCCCCTCTAGAAATTGTTGTTTTATAAAATTAGGTTCTGTTGTCATTTAACATTTTTGCCACTGAAATTTATATAGATACTCCTTTTCCCTGTCCCCTTCCCTTCAAAGTTTAATAGGGAAAACAAGAAAAAGAGAATTTCAAGGTGATAGACAATACAAAACATCTGAAAAACACTGATAAACCATATCTATAAACCATATATAGGGGGAACATAATTACATAATTACATTAACCATGTGACTGGTTTTATCCTACTTTGACTCATCAGATGCGAGTAGCCAGATGTTATTCTATGATGTTCAAACCCTCTCCTGGGAATTGAACTCACATATCTTTGCACTTTAGATGACTATATACAGAAGGGGAAATTGATGATTGTGTATACATTTCTCATGGATTGGCTTGTGCCTTCTGGTTGCTGAAATTCTTTCAAAAAATGCCAGGTGGATGGACCATGATCTGATTTAGCAATCCACTTCTAGGAAAGCAGACTGCTTACTGGGCCTGGAAATCAGAATTAGCTGGGCCTTTACCTGCCAAGAGGTTCTCCTAACTATTACTGGATCTTTAGATAACAGGAATGGCAGCAACAGTTTTATAGATCCTTAGGGACTAAAAAATTAATTATGGCACAGAAGTTCATCAGTTGAAGGAAATGTAATGATAGATAGATATAGGTAGACAGAAGAATGGAAAGAAAAATAAATATTGGCATGTTTCTCTTTTAATTTAAAAATATATTTTATATTATAATAATTTCTATTTATGTAAGGTATAGAATAGTGATGTTTTTGAATTTTGCTGTTGGAAAAGGCTCTTGGGAATACCATGTATAGCCAAAACCAAACCAAACCTGGTGAACCATAGAATAAATCAATCAAGTGTTCTCACTGAAGGCACAAACACTTCAAATTATATTTTGGATACATTAGGCTCTCTAAAGAAGTGTGTAATGCTGAGAAAGGTGGAAGGAAAGAGGGGAAGAGGATGACCAGCAAGGTGGTTGGAGTCAATTAACTTGCTAAGAGTCAACAAGGACTTGATGGACATAATCAAATATAAACCAAAGCTAGTGGTTTAGCACTCACTCCATATTTACCTGTCCCAATAAAAAGATTTAAAAAAGAAAAAAGTCTGCATCTTTTTTCCATCAGGAGGTGGAAGAAATGAAGACAGAGAATTCAGGCTGCAATGAATTCCTTGATGTTCACAAATCACATCAAACCAAAACTTTATTAGGGCCACAAGGTCAGCAGTAAAAAAAAAAAAAAAAAAGTAAAACAGTTACAAAATGAAAATATGAACCCCCCCCCCCAAAAGACATTAGTACAACTTTTCAGACCTAAGAAGAAATGTATAGTATATATAGAGGCACAGAACTGGGCAACCAGGAAAGATACAGTATATCCAAACACCAGTCAGATAGAAGAATGATAAAGAGAAGTCATGCTTCCTACCAAGAAATTCCTTCAGGATAGGATAAAAAAGCATATGGCTCAAAGACTCCACAAGGACATATATGTTGATAATAGTTTTTGTCCCAACAGGACAGCGAAAGACAATGCATTCCGGTTGGTCAAAGTGAAGATCAGATGGAATTTCAGGACTCTGATAGACAGTGTTTCTCAACCTTGGCAACTTGAAGACGTGTGGACTTCAACTCCCAGAATTCCCCAGCCACTGCTGTACCGTACAT